TCAGACAAGGCTCTTGTTATCAATATTATGTTCCCGTTGACAAAGGTCACATCGGAATTTAAGTGTTTTAGTATCTCCTGAGGCCATTCTTTATTAAAAAAACTGGACAAAACAGAATGCAGATTGTTTTTATCTTGATTGCTTGTTTCGGTGCAACTATTGGCCATTTTTTATATTTTAGTTACGGGATAAACAATATAGCCACAAGACATACGTTTTTAGGATGCATCTGTTAATGTTCGAAATTTCGTAAAAATGTTTTGATTAAACTTATTCTAAGATAAATATTCAAAGATAATAAGTTGTGAACAGTTTCACTAGAGAACAAATAAAGTTCGCGTCAAATAAAAAGTGGTGGCTCGGCAGAGTTGCTAACTCGTCGGACTAGTAATCTAACGGTTGCTGACCGTGTGGGTTCAAACACTGTCAGGGGCAAGCCGTGGTTTTCTTGAGCAAGAAACTTTAGATTCATTGCTAAGTACTTGTTGGTTCCAGGAACAGATTCGAGAGTATTTCAACAAGCTTATAGCTTTCAACAAAATCGCAATAAAAACCATAAACTAAATATAAACTAAATAAAATTTTCAATATACATTTCCTGAAGAACTTAAATTTTATTTTTAACTCGAATTTGTTTTTGAAACAAATGAGTTTACAGCTACACGTTATCATTATGAGATTCGGCTAATGTGATTTATTTTTTAATTTTACGCAATTATATGTTATATTATTGCCTATTATATTTCTACAGAAAATGTTCCTTGTTCTGTTTCTATTTCCTTTTTTCTACTTGCATTTTTAGTTTTATTACCAAACGAAACTCAATAGAGACCATAAAATAAACAACATTATAAAACGTAGAATATTTCATTCAGTGGAATCACTAAACCTCTCTCATTAAATACTAAATGTCAGTTGCTTTTTGTCAAATAAAAAAGTAAAGTCTCGAAAATCTATAATGTCAATGTTTGTTTTTCCTTACATCTCAAAGCACACTTACTTTTTTGGCACAGGTTTAGTCCTTATTGTTAAAACTGACATTGATGTTGTCCTATGATCAAATTATATGAAATTAAGCAACTAGAAATACATTCTCTCATAATGTTCATATCTGTTTAGTTTAACTGCATCACAATTTTGAGTGTCTGAACGATTTCATGTCTAAATTATATGGCATGGTTTTTCCAGACTAAATTCAATATAATAAAGTCTTGTAGTTCGTGCCGCAGATGTCATATATACTGATGTCAAAGTGAAGTAAAAGGAACCATATCAACAGATCGAATAAAAATACAACAATGATAATAACCTTCTGAACAGATGTTTTTATTGATAGACATTATAAATAATTAATGACACTTTCAGGCTATGTTTCTTAATAATGCGACAATTCGAATAGAAATATTGATGTAAGAAAACCAAATTTTCTTTGTGACTGATTATCGTCATGAAAATAACGAGATATACTACTTTTTGATACTTTTGTAATTTCCAACAATTCACAATTATTTTCATTCATTAAACTCATTTGAATATGGAATGCAATAATCATTTCCTAGAAGTTTTAAAGTATGATCGAAACATATTAAGACGAAAAGAAGTATGGAACATTGTTTGCTATCATCAAATCACTTTTAAAACAGAACATACATACCTTCAAAATATATACTTTTCTACATTATATAACATTATTATAGCATTTTTGAATATTGACATTATTCATCATCAAATCTTGAAATAACGTTCTCAAATTATCACAAAACTTTATTATACAATTTTCATCCCCTGACATATTATATTTGATGTTTCATTTCTTCCGAGGAATCTACTCAACTCCAAATGTTTATTATGAATGTACAAATGCACTCTGCATGTAGTTGCTACAAGATCATTGAGACTTTTTTTCATTTCTATCAATTATTTCTAAAAATAATTAACTTGATTCATTCTGACTTTGCTAGCACAGAAAATAAAAATTATTATACAAAAGAAATGATATAAAATTGTTTTAACATATGGTAAGCATCTATAGATTAATAACTAAAAGAGCACTTAAAATAATTTGTAAGCTTCTTTTTTTGTAACGTATCTTAGCGAAATAAAAACCTGGTATTATGAGATTTATTACATCATATATGTTTAATTCTGCTGGAAGTAAAAGCTTGATTATATTAACTAAAACTTGATAACTCAGTATGTTCTACTTTATAGAAGAATAATTAAATACTACTTTTCTTTTAAATAAAGTACATTTCTTGTTAAGTCAAGCTGGTGTTAATTGAAATATTCATTAATAATTTTCTTAATCAATAATAAATCTTTTTTCTTAACAAATATTCTCGACTATGGTGGAATGTTTAGATAAATAATTTACTTCGGAGATGACTACGTATGTATATTAATCACCCTATAGACGGAATAACGGGCGAACTAATGTCTCTGCGTTATATAACATATCTTGTGGTAATAAGTCTAGGCATAACTAATTTCGATGCCATTATATGTTATGACATTTAAGATGTTACGATCCACGATGTTTTACATTCTTGTTTACGTCGTAAATAGATGCCTAATTTAGACAAAATCTCTCATATCAAAACTTAATTAATATCTAATTATAGCTTCCCCAGTTTATGCAAGATAAGCAAAATATAGCATTTGTTAATTATAGAATTTGAAGTTTTGATCAGGTAAGACTTTATTTACATAAATAAGCAATGAAAGCAATAGTTGCAGATTCGGTTTGATTGAGTCTTTTCATGGTGGATAAACGTGCAACATCTCTCATGGCCCCCTAGCACCGACTTAAGCAATATCTAATTGTGCTTGAATAAATGATTGTGAAGGATCAGAAAATTATAACAAAACTGAAGTAACGTACGGGACAACAGCTGCCACTAAGACCAAAATGCCTCAAAAATCCATATTTTTCTATTCCTTAGAAATGAAAAACATGTGTTTTATAATATTTTAATAATGGATTAAGAGCATGTTAGATATTTCACAACTGACAAAAATTAGCGCTGAACATAAAACAGAGATGATTCGTAATAGTAGCAAAATATAAAGAAAGTAGTGTTTTGACTTCAATACAAGTTTTAAAAAGATATTAGAAAACAATATATTTGCAGATATCTGATAAAATGAGTATTACATATTCCTTATCTTGATTTTTATACAATTATGTGAGCGTATTTGTATAATTGCACATTTTTCATACAAATTCTCTGACTCAGTAAAGCGTGTTTAAAATGAAAATGGTGTACTTCAATTATTTATTAGTTTAAAATAATTTACTGGTATCGTTCTAGAAGGGATTTGTTTGCTCAAAATGTAATTATAGTGAGTCGTTCAGTTCATACTCATAAATATAAGGCTTCTATAGAAAAGATGAAACCGTAAAACTTTGAATCGTTATACCTCTACCGGACTTTATCACGTTACATAAAGAAATGCGGCTTCCATTTTTCTGGTCCTTCGGAATCATTGATTCCAGCACGAAAATATTGAAAATTTGGGGAATTGCCGGGTTTGGACCCGTAAGAGGGATCTTTTTTACCTTTCCTTTCTTTTTCCCAAGAAATCTTTTAATAACTCACAAAAAGGCCCATTATGGGGGGTACCAGCTTAAAATAGAAATGGTCCGCACTTCATTTCAATGTTGATTTCTGGTCTATCAGCATCATTAATTTCATTTTTTTTGAATTGAGGATTTAATTCAGCGTTAGGGGCCTAAAGAGAGATAGCACAATTTACATTATCTTGTTTCAAAAGATAAAATAAATAAATCAATTAATAAAATTAAATGTGAAAAAAACGAACGTTGGATGGTAAATGTTTGTTTCTGTTTTCGTCGCTGTCGAAGACTTTCGGATTTTTTTATTTATTTGTTTTTTTTCCATATGAGCAGCACGGAATTAATTAGATACTACTGTACGCATTTTCATCCAATATACAAACTTCTTTCCGAAACAATTTTATTTTTTTCTCTCTCTCTCTTCCAAACCCCGAAAGCAATGAAAACAAAGCAAACGTTTGGTTTGATTTTGTACGTTCATAAGAGATAATGAATTTTCTAAATTTGTCCCGCCCCTATCGGCTTAAGTGGTATTAAATCATCAATATCTATATCGACTTTGACGGCTGTCGAAGAATATTTGTTCATTCCTGTCAATATTTTTCGTATAAAAGCAATTAAAAAGAGAAATAAAATTTAGTTCCAACAGTTTATGAACAAAATTAATATGAAAATTTGTTCCAATGGTGTTTTCGTTTATTCTTTAACATGAATATGAAACATGTCATTGACTAAGCAATTAAAATATTTGACATACAAACCGTGTGGATAAGAATGAACACACATTTATATTCATTACAGTCGTATAGTCAACAGAAATAAACACGATAATACTTTTGACTTTTGCTATTTTACAAGTCGACAGGCAGAATTAAAACAACAACTGAGTTACTTTTTAAGAGCATTATACTAAAGCTATTTTTTTTGGTTTTAAGCCGTAATTGGCAATTTAGACAGGTGTCTTAGTCAATGATAGTGTTGCAAAATTGTCTTTCAAAAGCCACTATTGCTCATTTAATGTGGTGTTGACTTCAACATGTTAGATTTCTATGATTGTTTTGTAGAGTTGTTTGTTTGAGAATTACACCATTACATGTTCTAATGTTAAATACTGCTTAAGCCGGTGCTAGGGGGGCATGGAAGATTCTTGCACTTTCTAGTACAGTCTGTTATCAGGGTTAACCAATCACAAATTACTGTTTTGATTAACTAATAATGCTGCAAAATAAGGCGCACCATTTATTTGTATCAAAAATGAGGCGTCAAAGGGGGGAAAAGTCAGCTTGTTATAGTCTTTAAGGGCCATTATCATGACTTTTATTGGAACAACTTTGACCATTCAAAATGTAAGAATTATCTTTGAAGCATAATAAATGTACATATACGCAAATACATATAAATGTAATATGCGATAAATGTATACCAGATCTGGCTGCTTGGTAAACTGGTTTGCTCCAGATCTGGCTGCTTGGGGACTGGTTGCTCCAGATCTGGCTGCTTGGGGACTGGTTGCTCCAGATCTGGCTGCTTGGGGACTGGTTGCTCCAGGTCTGGCTGCTTGGGGACTGGTTGCTCCAGATCTGGCTGCTTGGGGACTGGTTGCTCCAGGTCTGGCTGCTTGGGGACTGGTTCTCCAGATCTGGCTGCTTGGGGACTGGTTGCTCCAGGTCTGGCTGCTTGGGGACTGGTTGCTCCAGATCTGGCTGCTTGGGGACTGGTTGCTCCAGATCTGGCTGCTTGGGGACTGGTTGCTCCAGGTCTGGCTGCTTGGGACTGGTTGCTCCAGATCTGGCTGCTTGGGACTGGTTGCTCCAGGTCTGGCTGCTTGGGGACTGGTTGCTCCAGATCTGGCTGCTTGGGGACTGGTTGCTCCAGATCTGGCTGCTTGGGGACTGGTTGCTCCAGATCTGGCTGCTTGGGGACTGGTTGCTCCAGGTCTGGCTGCTTGGAGACAGGTTGCTCTAAGTGTGGCTGCTTGGGGATTGGTTGCTCCAGGTGTTCCTTTGAAGGTGACTGAAACATCATACACTGAACTGTTTTAAAGATGACCATTTCAAATTTTCAGACATTAATCATGATTTCGTGACATGTTTAAGGATGACATTAAAAAAGATTATTTTAACAGATGTTTGACATTTCAACTGATATGACACAATACCTACTTTAAATATCAATTACTCCTTTATATTTATTCCGTAGGACGACCATACTTAATTAAAATATATACTGAATCTGTGCAATTAGGCAACAAGTGGAGAGAAAATTAGCTTGTTATAGGCTTTAAGGGCTATCATTTTGACTTTAATTTGAATATCGTTTTACCAATCAAAATGTAAGAAATATCTTTGAAGTACAATAAATGTAATATATGCAAATACATATAAATGTAATGTGCGATAAATGTTTACCAGGTCTGGCTGCTTGGTAACTGGCTGCTCCAGGTCTGGCTGCTTGGGGACTGGTTGTTCCAGGTCTGGCTGCTTGGGGACTGGTTGTTCCAGGTCTGGCTGCTTGGTAACTGGTTGCTCCAATTCTGCTTGCTTGGGGACAGGTTGCTCAAGGTATTCCATTGTAGGTGACTGAAAAAATCATACACTGAACTGTTTTAAAGATGACCATTTCAAATTTTTCAGACATTAATCATCATTTTTTGACATGTTTAAGGATGACATTTAAAAATGAGAGCATTCTAACAGATGTTTGACTATAACAACTGATATGACACAAAATAGATAAAAATACAGAATCCCTAAAGAAAGCCCAACACGACAAAATTGAAAATGTTGCAGGCTCGGTTTGATTGAGCCTGTTCATGGACGGTACTGGAAAGTGCAAGTTACCGTCCACGCCCCCTAGCACCGGCTTAAGCAGAATTCAACATTTAAATATGAAATAGTAAAATTTTGAATTTAGAAACATCCGCAGATGTGTTCATACGGCGGTTATCATGGAACCTTCAATGTGACACTTCCGTGCCATTCCATGAAGAGCGGCGTATGGTCCCCAAGTAATAACAAGAGCCATGTCAACATGGCCATCCCCCGCCGAATGTGTTTGCTCATTGGAAGAATGTATATGTAGTAGAGGGGAATAATTCCATTTTAAGAGGTCTTTTGGTAATGAAAACTGATGGCTATAGTGATTACAGATTTGAAACCTATGTGAATACTGATGGCTGAAAATAACAAAGGGCAATTACTGAAAAATAATGCAGGGTAGGTTATCATTCTTGTGTGCTGCATCCCTCCTCAGTAAAATCTATCCACCTATGAAGTTTCAAGTTGATACCTCAAATACCTTTTGAGAAAAAAATTGAATAGAAAAATTAAGTATGAAAAAGAACAAAGGGCAATAACTCAAAAATTATAAAAGGCAGAGTTTTCATTCTTGTGCACTGCACACCTCCTGAATGAGATCTATGCACCTATGAAGTTTCATTTTGATATCTCAAAGGCTTTTTGAGTTATGCTCTGGACAAAAATTAATTTTGAAAAATAACAAAGGGCAATAACTCAAAAATAATGCAGGGTAGAGTTATCATTCTTAAGCACTGCACTCCTCCTCAATGAGATCCATCCACCTTTGAAGTTTCAAGTTGATACCTCAAATACTTTTTGAGATAAGCTCTGGACAAAATAGCATGAAAAAAGGGCAATAACTCAAAAATTGTATAGGGAAGAGTTATCATTCTTGTGCACAACATTCCTCCTCAATAAGATCTATCCACCTATGACATTTCATGTTGATATCTCAAACACTTTTTGAGTTATGCTCCACTCAGGTGAAAAAATAGGTATGAAAAATAACAAAGGACAATAACTCAAAAATTATGAAAGGTAGAGTTATCATTCTTATGCACTGCACACCTCCTGAGTGAGATCTATGCACCTATGAAGTTTCATGTTAATATCTCATAGGCTTTTGGAGTTATGCTCTGGACAAAAATCAATTCTGAAAAATAACAAAGGGCAATAACTCAAAAATCATGCAAGGTAGAGTTATCATTCTTGTGCAATGCACTCCTCCTCAATGAGGTCTATCCACCTATGAAGTTTCAAGTTGATAACTCAAATACTTTTAGAGATATGCTCCGGACAAAAATGTCGGACGGAAGGTCGGACGGACGGACGGAGACTATTTCTATATCCTCCGCCGAAATTTTTCGGCGGGGGATAAAAAGCGTGTGCCCTAAACGAGAAAACAATGGGCGGAACTAATTAAAATGGAATTTTGAAAGGGGATCAGAGGTTATGAAGCCTGCATATCACAGATAAGACGTCAAAAGACAAATTTAAAAAGCAGGCAACATATCTTAAGGGTGATTCAACATTATTCAAGTAGAAATACCTACTTTAAATATCAATTACTCCTTTATATTTATGGTAGGACTACCATACTTAATTAAAATATTTACTGAATCTGTGCAATAAGGCAACAAGTGGAGAGAAAATTAGCTTTTTATAGGCTTAAAAGGCCATCTAATTTTTACTTTAATTTGAATATTGTTTGACCAATCAAAATGTAAGAAATATGATTGCAGCACAATAAATGTATATATGCGAAAAATGTATACCAGGTCTGGCTGCTTGGGGATTGGTTGTTCTAGGTCTGGCTGCATGGGGACTGCTTGCTTCAAGTCTGGCTGCTTGGGGATTGGTTGTTCTAGGTCTGGCTGCTTGGGACTGCTTCCTTTAAGTCTGGCTTCTTGGGGATTGGTTGTTCTAGGTCTGGCTGCTTGGGGACTGCTTCCTTCAAGTCTGGCTGCTTGGGGATTGGTTGCTCCAGGTGTTCCTCTGAAGGTGACTGAAAAATCATACACAGAACTGTTAACCATTTCAACTGACATGCACAATACCTGCTTTTTATATCAATCACTCATTTTTATCTATGCAGTAAGACTACCATACTTAATAAAAATATGTACTGAGCCTGTGCAATAAGGCAGTGGAGAAAAATTATCTTGTTATAGGCTTTTAGGGCCATCATTTTGACTTTTATTTGAATATAGTTTATAGTTTGACCAATCAAATTGTAAGAAATATCTTTGAAGCACAGTAAGTGTATATATATATATATGCAAAGACATTTAAGTTATGTAATATGCGATAAATGTATACCAGGTCTGGCTGCTTAGTAACTGGTTGCTTCAGGTCTGGCTGCTTGGGGACTGGTTGTTCTAGGTCTGGCTGCTTGGTAACTGGTTGCTCAAGGTCTGACTGCTTGGGGATTGGTTGCTCCTGGACTTGGGAATTTGGGATTAGTAGCTCCTCAGCTAGTGAGGATGTTGCTGGTTCCGTATTAGGTGACTGAAAATCATATACATTTAACTGTTTTAAGGATACCTTTTTCAAATATACAGGTCCTTTATTATTTATTAAACAAATAACTCTGGGGGGTTCAAAGATAAAAATTTAAAAACAAAGTGGATAATAATAATAATAAAGTTACTTAGATCAAAGTTTGGCCGCTAATAGATACTGTTGAACAATTTCATTGTACCTACACAAAGTAATTTGTTTGAAAATTATAAATATCTACAGTACTTTTCTTTTATTAGTTTATACAAATAACTGATCAAGAAATTTATATGCAAGTCTTACCTCCACATTCAGTTCATTAATGATGCTATTTATCAGACTGGCATTAAAGGAGTCATCATCACTGTCTTCAAACTCGGCCATTGGTGACAGCTCTTCTACATCGGCTGCTATAACTGTGCTGGTCTCTTTTTCTTCTGCCGGGTACATTTTGATGAGTGTCACAAAATGGTTTGGGTGCCACTCTTTCTCTGGTAGACCGTTTCCTTGAAGATTGCTCCACATAATATACACTTTGTTTTTGTTCAGTTCAGCTTTTTGAAATGGCACGAATGTTCTGTTTAGGTCACTCCTCACAGTTTGTCCTCCATATCGAGGGTAAACAGACACAACATCAGTCTGAAGGATATTAGATAATGCTGCCACTTGCCAAATGCCCATATATGACCCACTGTGACAAAGACTAAGTACCTCTTCTTGAAACAACCTCTGTACAGCAAGACCTGTCAGTTTTTCCCCTGAGAAATGTTCAGAAAACATTACAAACTGTCTAGCAATATTTTTTTTCCAAGACTGAGATCAGTACCTTCTATTAAGTATTTGTCATCTAGATATTTTTCTTCATTCACCACCATCTCAAAAATTATTCTGGCTCTTAATTCGAGATGCTTTTCTTCATGACCATAAACAAGAACACTAGAACATCTAGGCAAACAGTTGCCATCGCCATATATAGTGGTGGGCAACAACCCCAAGTTTCGAACTTCATCAGGTAGCAATTTTAGGGCAGTGTTATCGACTACCATCTTATGTGTAACAAAAGTAACCTCGGGTAATCTTGGCAGAAGAGGCAGTTCTGTGTCAAATGTAATCTGCTGGACTTCTCTATATGTCAGGCATTTTGTCAGTCTTTCCCAATAAACAATGCTATTCATAGTCTTTGTCAAAGGTGTTGAGCCACTTGTTTGAAAACCATTCCTAATTTTAGAATTTGGTATGGGAGTTTGCTGTACTTTATCTACATCTGTTTTGGTGACTTTATGAGTTGAGGTCAAGTGATCAATAGTTGATCGTGTCCGTGGTTTTACTGTATTTGACATTGACGACTGTAGTAGTTTTTCTTCATAGGTTCCTGTGTATTCTGTATTGACACAACCCTCTTGCTGTTTTCCAATACCTCTGCAAACTGAGCAGTAACATGTCAATTTTTTAACTGAAAGTTTATACGGTGATCCAGGAATATTTATAATTTGATGCCATTTTCTACTTCCTTGCACAGTTTTAACATCTGTTTTCTTCCGATCCCTAGCAATCTCGCCTTTTTTCACTAAAAAGAACCTCCTTTTCGATCCTGGTTCATTGAAGCACAGGGTGCTCTCCGAACACCATTTGTACATTTCTGATGCATTTGAAATAGTCAGTCTTCTGCCCAACAGTGCCATGTCCAATGCTCGATTAATACAACCAAGTTCACCGTCACATTCGGATTTTCCGTGTTCTGATCCAAAGTAGTTCCATTCAATCTTTCAGACTCAGATATGCAAATGTACCTCTGCCTTTATACTGTGCAGCGCAGCCGTCTGAGAAAACAACTACCTTCTTAAAAGGTATCTCCAGATCTTTTAGATAGTCTAAAGTTTGTTCCCAAAAATGATTCACAGCATGATGGTCATGTGTAAGGTCATCGCTAAGATAAACAAGGGATTCTCTCACAGTTAACTGAGGAACATCCAGCGAATGGTAAAACACCACAACAGGGTGAACAGTAACTTGTTGTGTTGTGTAGTAAACAGATTTAGGTTCATCCTGATATCGAATAGTTCTGTTTTTCCCAAAGTCCATTACAAGTAAAACACAGTCTGGTGGTAAATTACTTCGCATTTCAGCAAACTGACGTTGCTGCCATTGTCCTGTAAATAAATGTTCTTGAAAAGTTGTACCTTGTACTGGTTTCATTACATCAGTTATAAGTTCTTCCATCATTGCTGAAACGGAACTTTTCTTACATTTCAGAACCTTCCTTGCCTTTCCATCTTCCACAACTTTTTCCCAGTGATTCCAGGTCAACATATTTTCATTCTTTTGGATTTCATTGTTTCCAAAGTAGGCATATAGTCTTTCTTTTGTGTCAAGGCATTTCGGACTTTTATGGAAAATGCACCTGGATGAATGGTAGCGCTGTGCATCATTTTTGGGACATAGTATAATGTCAAGAAGTTGACTGAAATCAGTGACTTTTTTCAACGCTTTAGTTATGGCTCTCAGTTTATAGCAAATATTTTGGCATGTTATGCAAACACAAAAATTCCAGTGTTTTACTGACAGAAGCCTAACATTCTTCGGTCTTAATGTTGTAAACTTTGTAAATCCTATTTTGCATTCTTTGTAGTCCTGCTTAAACATTGAGTATGCAACTGCCAGTGTACATTGCATTACATATCCAGGCCCATGTTTATTCGCATATCTTTTTTGCGGCAGAGCTGTTGATACATCAGAACGAAATTAGAAGTTTCTGGCTAAGCTTTCCGTCCTTGGTGAAACTCTATTCCATTTAGGATATGTTACGCCATGAGAGTGTATACTTTTTACTCCCTTAGTTTTGCTCTCTTCTTTCTGAGATTCATTTACAACCGGGCTCTCCTGTTGCGAAGAACTAGCAACTGGTTGATGTTGTACATGGGTACCTTTCATATTTTCTTGAAGTTCTTTAGATTCTTCACATTGGCTGATTTCCATCAAATCTATGTCACATTTCTGAACTTTTGGGCTGATTTTCATCAAGTCTTCAACAGCTTGTCGTTTTTTGGGTGTTGTATTTTGTACAAGGTTCTTCACCACACAAGCATACTTCTGTGGGTTTGATGGTAGTACCTTTCTGGCTTTCCAAGTGACATTATACAATGTCTTCTTTGATCTGAACCCTCCTTCAGGCTGTGGTGTTATCTCTGACCCGTTTGACAGTACTTTGTTCTGCTTACGTTCTTTATCTTTCTTCCTTACCCAGGCCTTTTTATGGGACGACATGTTTTTTCTGTACTTTTTTTTTGATTCTCGCCGTTTTTCTCTCAGACTTCCTAACTCTGCTCTTGTTCTTGGTTTAGACTCTTTTAGAACTGATGTACATGTAGTTGTTTGAACCTGGGTCTTCGCTGCTTCTCTCTGTCTTTTTCGAAACTTCTGTTGCCTGATCTTTGCCTTTTCTCTTAATTGTACCATTTTCTGTGTATCATTTTTAATGTTTTGTCTGTAGACTTTACTTCTATCTCTTTGTTTTTCTAAATATTGATTATATTTTTTCTTGTTGCTTATTTTCATATTCCTTCTATAGAGAGTAGTGGGATCCTGTAATAATTAACAAGCACAAATTTAGTACCATAGACTTTGTTATAATATTGAAGATGCATGCATGTATATAGATGCATACAATAATTAGTATTTAATACAATTTCCTATCTAACAAAAAACCTCATAATATCATTATAATATTTATTATTAATGTTAATACCATTATTATTATTTTTCTGAAAATGATTGTGAAATATGGATAATAATAATATTAAAGATACAAATAATAAAAATAAGTTACTATTACAATACTGTATTATCATTTTATTGTTATTGTTATTCTAAAAACAACAACAAGTAAATGATAAGTTGTGTTTATAAAAATATATAACTTATTCAAATTATTAATTTATGACTACCATTTAATTGGCTTGACTACATTCTTTTTGGTGGTTTATAGAAATATATCAGTGAAATATACTAGTTAGAACTTCGCAAGTTGGATGTGTAGCCTTGTGAACAATATAGTTTAAAAGAAATGGCCAGAACAAAAATGAAATATGAAAATTAACAAAGGGCAATAATTCAAAAAATAAGAAGTGCAGAGCAGCAGTTTCTGTACACTGCACTTCTTTTCATTAAGATCTATCATCATGTCCATAGCTTTATAATTTATGAGAAATGGCCTGGACAAGAATAAAGTATGAAAATTAATTAAAGGGAAATAACTCAAAAAATAAAAATTGCAGAGTACTGGTTATTGTGCACTGCACTTCTTCTTAATGAGATCTATCATCCTGTGAAGTTTCATGTCCATAGCTTTTATACTTTAGGAGAAATGGCCCGGACAAAAATAAAGTATAAAAATTAACAAAGGGCAATAACTCAAAAATTAAGAAGTGCAGAGTATCGGTTCTTGTGCACTGCACTTGGGGTCATTATAAGAACCATGCATAACAAGTTTGAAGTCAATCCGACTTATAATGACCGACTAATGCTCTTTTTTCTTTAATGTTTTTTTTTTGCATAATTATAATAAAAAAATGTTTAGTTAAGTGTAAGATTGTGAAGTAACCTATGGGTGCTCACACAGTGAAATATTCTCCAACTTACACTGACCTATACAAATATCCCCTATTTGATCAGGTGACAAATGTAATCACTGGGGCGTCCGTGGACGAGTGGTTAAAGTCGTTGACTTCAAACCACTTGCCCCTCACCGCTGTGGGTTCAATCCCGACAGGGACTTTGGATTCTTTCATGTGAGGAAGCTATCCTATCCAGCTAGCTTACGGAACGCCGGTGGTTCTACTAATGCACAGAAGGGCACCTGAGGTCTTCCTTTACTAGTAAAGCTGGAACGTCGTGATATGAGTCTGACCTGTACTGTGTCTATGTGACGTAAAACCCAAAACAAACAAACAAAAATATAATCACTGACCTTTGTTTGTTGGGGTTTTTATACTTTTAAGTTCTAATTGCATTATTAAACTCTGTCAGCAATGCAGAGAATAAGCAGGGGATGTATACATTCCAGACATGTCCTTGAATAACACTAGCATTGCATAGATCAATAAAATGTTTGATTACCACACATTTACCATAAAACTATAAGCAGTGCTTCTAATTTTATTGACTTATTACATTTTATCATTTCTAAATTCTATTTTACTCTTATATAGAACAATATTGTATGCTCAAATGTTCTGATCTGTCTGATAACGCTAGCATAGCCAAGCCAACGTAACATTAGCAATGTGTTCTGTCCACTTGTAACATTCACAATATTTGAACTTGTCCTAAAATAACGATAGAAACTTTTATTCTGTCCAAGAAATAACGTTTGCATACATTCAGTTGTTAAAGTGTCTCTTTCGGCCGAGAAAAATGTTTACTTTCGTGTTGTAATGCGGCATGACAGTCAAAACAGTAATCTGGTAATCACTGCTTAAATAAAATACATAAATAAAGCTCAATAAATGCACCGCTTATGCAAACGTTACACTGTGCTATCGTCACTAATCTTGGACAGAAAATTTTAATAACTGTTTTCAGTATCATTGCTTACCATCGATTTTTCTTCTGCCATGAAATCATGTTTCGTGGAGGTCGCCATTTTTATAAACAAATGCATTATGGGGAAAGTGCGCACGGTATAGTGTAAATCACAGTAAAATTCCATTGCAATCGTTATGGGCTCGGAAGACGGAAAAAAATTCCGTAACGTTCGCATGGAAAAAAACATCGCAGGTCAGCTGTTTTTTGATATCCTTTACTCCGAAATCGACTCTAACGCTTTCAGAATTGCAAACCTACTCTGCTTACGTCACAATAATATATTCAACCATCAATGCAAGATAAATTATAGGACAGCTAACTTGCAAACGTTACCCACTACAAACAGGGCAGAAAACTGCCTTTGTAACCACCGCTGATAAAAATGTTTATTTATAAAAAAATATATATAAAAAAGAACACAAACATATTGGGTATCTTTTTTCAATTCAATTTTGATATAATCTTGAAAAAATAGAACTATTTTACACATCCTGTTTTTTCTACATAATTTGAAAAAAAAAGTACATCAGAATTGACCGGGAGTTTATTCCGTCCTATTCTGGGGTCAATTGCTACATAAACAGTAATACGAGAGAAAACAAGATAGATCAATTTATTTAGATATTTATTCATTTTATGTTATTTTGAACAATATTTTATATTCATACATCAAAAGTTGAATAACTAGTGTTTATCATGCATTTTAATTCATTTTAATACTTTCTGTCCAGGTAACACTAGCACTTGTGAAAAGTGCCAACTATAAAAAATAGAAAAAAAAGGATCTCCAAGAACGACCAAAACGGCAAAATCAAAATTTTGCAGGCTCAGTTTAATTGACCCTGTTCATGTTCGAAATAGGATAGGCATAATGTCAGATTAATTGATATACTTACTGGAAAAGAAAACTGCCTTATTGTTGTAATAATACACAGAAAATTCATAATAATGATAATAATCATGTAATAAACGAATTTATGTTAGATAGTGTCTTACTTATCTGTTTTTGTTCCAAGCTTTTCCCCCCAGAAAACATAAAAAATATAACATTTACGACGACTTATATAAATAATCGTACTCTGTCATGCAAATGGTAAATTATTTCCTAAAATAATGTTGACTTTAATGCTGAACAAGTTATATATTCTTTATTTGTTTAAAAATTATAACAATCAAACAAGTTTCACATTTAACTAGCTAGTCAATGGTTAAACAAGAGCACATGACACATTCATTACCCACTTATCCAGAAAGTCCCCATATTTATGATCAAAAGATAAAGCGTTCCCTTGACTATTTTGAGTTTGAACAATACTCGAATAAAACTACTGTTCAAAATTTCAAGAACTTATTGATAAATCTTTAGGCCTCCTCAAAGTAATGATGTCTTTTATCTAATGCATAGAACTGGTTCATTGCAGTGTTTCAAATTTCATTGTTGTTAGAGTAAAATTTATCAAGTGTTGGTAGCATTCTGTAATTCTCTGAAATATATTGACAGCGTATATCATAATATAAAAAAAATAATTAAAAATGGTTGTCATTTTCTATTGAAGTTTCACTATAAAATGACATATACGTTCATCTCTACTTAGGCCATAGTGTCTACCTGTTTCAGTAAGAAGGTTGTGAACAGAGCATGTAAATAAAGCAAAACATTTTCGAAATTTGACAATATCCAGCACATGTACATAATTTTCAACACTAAATGTTGTTTCATATGATGCATAATATGTCAATTTCTCATTAAGCATACATTCGGCACTCCAATTTCGTAGGTATTGATCTTTTAGTTTATGTTTAGAATAAAATATAAAAAAAACTGTCTAAACTACAAACAGACTGCCAAACTCTTTCTACAAATTGATCATAACAGACATTTTCTGAAGGTGTTATTATAGATATTAATGTTGGTCACTGGTATTATTGATTTCTAAGGTGACTTTTAAAAAATAATTAAAAATTTAATTAATAAAAAAATAGAAAAAATTATTTTAAATTTTACCTTACCACTTAGTAATTGATCTCGGACGGGCATAATGCCACTTGAACTGATTCAAGTATTTCTAAAGACCATCCGCAGACATATTTGATTGTCCTATGCGAGAATATCTTATATACCTGGAATATAATGTTGTCCTTTTATAATTTACAGAAATATCGATTAAAGTGTCTATGAAGCAGCAAATTTTAAAACAAATCAGCAGACATCAGACGACATAAACTAAATTACTGCTGTTTAATTACATATAACTGTTGACGTAAACAGACAGAACACATTATATAACGTGAATGACAATGGCAAAGTACAATTACATAAGGCAGCTTTTCAATAGAGTATAATAATTTGTTACTTATTATTACTGTTGAACAGACAGCAATATTCTTCATTCCTTAATACCTTTACGATAATCTGATAGAATACCAATTGATAAAATAAAAGTCTAGGTTTCAGTGATATATGGTTAAATTTTGACAATTCCTGTAACTACTTTTGTACTTTGAAACAAAGATTACGAGATCAGTATATCCAAAACTGGAAAATGGAGATCCATAATGTAGCTAAACCTAAATACTATAAACAATTTAAAGTTGATTTTTTATGAAAAATATTAAGACATATTAACTTATAGTTAACAAATAGAGCTATATACTAATTTCAGCATATCAGAATATCAGCACATAATCTCGAAATTAAAGTAGAAAGATATACTTGCATTGAAAGAAAAAATCGTATATGTAAACTTTGTTCATCACAATCAGTTTAATCTGAGTACCATTTTAATTATGTTGTAATAAATACTAAGATTTACGACAGAAATATTTTGAAAATAATGCTTGGCATTCAGTTCAAAAGTTCATTTATATTATGTCATCAAATCGCAGAACTAGTATTGTAAAAATGCAACGTTTTAAACGGAAGCTTATAAAATGAGAACTTTAACCCTTGAAAATAATGCTGCTTTGTATGATTTATTTCCTTTGTGAGTTTTAATTTTCTTAACATTTGATATTTCGTGATTATCTAAAAATTAATGTGTAGTAATGTCTGTAACTTTTATGTAAACTGTATGTCTTGACCATATTTAGTATGTGTAAATGGTCGAAGGCCTTTATAATGCCGAATTGCAAATAAATGAAACGAAATGTAAATGATAAAATAAAAGTTACTGCTTAAATAGTCGTGAGCGCCATTCTCCTTTTCGCCCTTGCTGATATTTGTACTCATAGTTAACATAAAAGATGATTTAAGCAAAAGATACAACACAACACTGGACTGAATTCTTTAAAGTAACAGCGAGCTCGCAGACCTTTGTTCGTTTGTTATAGGTCATATAGCGACGTTCAGGCTTTACTGGTGGAGGAAGACCTCAGATGCCTCTTCCGTGCATTATTAGTCGCCAAATAATCATTACGGCAACGCATGTACCTTCAAAAGGAAATGTTGTGTCAAAAGACCTTTACTTTGGAGGGGAGTGATGGAAATAAATTTGCCAGCTCTTTAATTTGGAGATTCAAATGTACGAATATATAATATTTCTAAAAAGAAAATCATTTTCCGAATTTGGGATTGTAAGCGAGTTATTGATCGTTGGACGATTAAAGAGCATGCAAATGCTAAAATGTACATGAAAAGAATTAAACGCAAATATACAGAACAATATTTTTATAATTATAGTCAAAGTGATAACTGTTGCATGCTACTTTTTCATAAATTCCTTACTCAATAGAAATAGAAATGTAGTCATTATAAGTTTCGGTATGTTCACATGTCACGATAATAACATTTTCCTTATATGGAATTGAATTACTTTCATTTGTTTTCCAAATTCTATGAAGAAATTAATACATTTTAAATCAATATTTACATTGCGTAATACTATAGATACTATTCGAGCGTTAAGAAAAGGCATTATAGATATAAAGTTGAAAAAATAGATATTGATCCAGTGCAAATTATTACTGAACGTTTTGTAAGAATTACTTTAAAATTTCATACATGAAGTTAATCCATATTTGATTTGATTTCAGCAAATGTTTTTTTTTTGCATGTTAAAGTACTGAAGTATGGCACATTATTTAAATATTACTTTATCTTAAACTGAAACTGTTACAGATATAATCCAGAAAAGTTTTATTTTGTTATTGTACGAGTAGAAACTGCGTTTTTAGTCCGAAACAATAATGTTTGTGAGAAAACTATTTTGTTTTACTTATCTATAAATGACTTGGGCCAAGGATAGTTTGATCCTTAAGTAATACTAAGATTGGAGTAGATATGAAATCTGTTGATTTGGATTAAATGCAAAGACTTACTATTAATCAACTTGTATGTCATACTTTTTATATACGCAGTTTGTATCTAAGATAAAGATTCATTATCACATCTAAATATACCGTCTTAAGATAGATTTTGTAAAGGAAAATAATAACATTGTATTGTTAAGTGTCGCTAGTTGAGATAGATCTTGGAATTTTCTAAGATTAAACATCATATGTGTATGACTCTCAACAGTTTGTTATTCAATTTTCTATAACAATTGATTTAAACGTTTGTCTGACAGGAAATGTATCATACAATTCTAACGTTATCAGATATGAAATCCAGCTAACAAAGATCACATTGGAATTTGAAAATGTTAGTATCTTCTTAAAAAATTTTGTTATAATCAAAGACTGGTCAATCGAACGGTAATTTTTTTATTTTCTGTGTTGCTTTTGATTATCTATTGTTTCTATTGTGAATCGGGATGTCTGCGTTCCTTGAACATCCTTGTTGCCATAACTGATCTTAATTGTAATATATTTTATTCAACTATAGCTTATTTGTATACAATTTAATGACTGTGCTGTTTTACATTCTTTCAAACCATGTTTAACCGTTATGATTTGATGTATTCACAAATTATCCGTTTTTTTTGTAACCGGCTTAATAATTTTGTAAAATTGTTGGTAATTTAAATATTCACTGCTTTATATATATTCACAGAAATGATCATTCAACAAAATCAAGCAATTCTTTTATACATTGATATTGAACTTAAAGTCTGTCTTTGA